TTTTGTTCATGAGAAAATCAACACTTCCAGTAAATGACTGGGATGAAACTAACAGTTTGAAACGCAGCCTGAACAGAGTTACTGTCGCACAGAACATGAAGTACTTATTGTTTACTGTCAATATCTCACACAGCTACAAGAAACCCTCTCCGAACAGCAGAGCCACCCACATAAAATGCTGTAGATACCGTGTTATTTTGTAAGCAAAGCGACTGGTTTTTAGAATGCAAGCGGGTGCAAGTTGATATCAACAATAATGGAAGCAGTTCTTCCTTCTGTGGAAAGAGAACCACCCTGACGATCAGGCATGATGGCCTGCCCTTCCCAGGAATCCAGCTCTCTCTCACACACACACACGCACACACAATCTGAACACTGTCAATGTGTGTGTGTGTGTGTGTGTGTGTGTGCATAACCCTCTCCCCTAAAAAACATCTGGTAAAATGTGCTTCACCCTAGGTTTTGGCCTTTCTTTGACACCCTAAAGCGAATGCCAAATGAATTTAAATAGAATAAGTGTGTGTGTGTGTGTGTGTGTGTGTGTGTGTGTGCATGCGAGGGAGAGGATTTATTATCTACTGATGTTTACACGCCCCTTTTCAGTGGAAATGCACTAACGCTACACTGTTGGCAAATTTCCATATCACCACTTTAATGACTCTGCAGTGTTAGAAAACCAGACTGCTGATTCACAGTTCATATATTTGTGAATATGACTTCGATACTGTGAAGAGTGTAATAAGTAGGGTTTGGTATCATTAAGATTGTTTTCAGTATCTGCAGACATCTATCTCAGGGATCTCATCAATCTCTCAATTATTTTCTTAACAATACAGGACAGCACTTGCTCACAAACATACGTCATATAATTTACCGGTTGGCCAAGTACTGACTCATTGAACCACCGTTTGATTCCTCCTTGTTTTATGATGCAGGGTTCATGATGAAATGTTTCAGGTAGCATTACAGGTAGGTGGTCAGCATTTATGGTGCACTTGGCTGTCCTCACCACAGCTGAGTGGAGCTGGCATCTGGGGCGAATTGACTACAGCTTACCACAGCATTAGCTCATGAGTTCAAATCAAGCGGAATTTATCTTGTTTGGAGAAGAATCTTCTCACCCATAGCTTAATAAAAGCAAAACTAGAAAGTAAAAGTGCCTGCACCTTGGTTTACGTAGGAGATCTGACTGAGGGCGTGAAATAATGTTAAAATTGTCCATGACAACATAGATTATTTTCAGGTTATTTGGTCAATTTCTCTGTGATTCCATGACTGGAAAACTAATCTTTAAATGTGTAGGGTGCGTGGGAACCCTGCTATCTCTCTATCTGTCTATGTATCTGGAAAAAACTCATAATGTTCAAATTTTTAGGAATAAATGCAGTGGGAGGCAGATGGACACACAAATGGAGAGTTTGAGCACTGATTCTCATTAACACATGTATCCCTCTCCTACACACACACACACACACACACACACAAAGTACATTCAGAGTCCAGAGCGATGCACTGGAAGGTGGAGGTAGAAAGAAATCAGCTTCTATAATTAGAGGAGCGTTCAGGAGCCATACTGCTGAGTTGTTGAATGTTTAATGTCAGGCCTGCAGGCGTTACAGTTGCAAAGAGCCAACGTCTGAGCCCCTTCACACCACCTCTTAACACACACAGACTCATAACCCCCTCTCACACACACACAAACTGGGGCCTGCACAGAGAGGCGGATGAGGTGAGGTGTAAACTGGAGGAGGGGTTTCAGGTTTCGGAGAGGAAACAGGAGCACAATGCATGGACACAGACACGGTGCATCTGACAACTGAGTGTGTAATTCCTGACTATTATCTGTAACCTGAACCACATTATGACACGGGAACCCAAACCTCCTCTGGATGAGGTAATGGTCAAACACATCTGATGCAAAAAATCTCGCACAAAAAAAGTGTTTGACCTCACATCCGTTAGTATCAGGTTATATTGTTATAACAAGATATTTTCATGTTACTAAGATATATAAGCTTATTGTCTTATAGCAAGAAGTGTTTATTGTTATAACAATATACTATTCATGTAACATCACATTATAACATCACTTATAGTTATAACATGAAACATTCCACTAGATAAAGACTACATTGTTATTACATTAAAGCAATATTAAAAGTTATCACAATATAATGTGAGACTTATCTTGTTATAACAATAAATCATCACTTCAAGCATGAAATGTTTCACCTTACAACACAAGATAAATAGTTTATTCTAATACCAATAAAAGTTTCTGGTTATAACAATATATGTTTTTATTATGTTATAACATGATACTGAATATGCTTCTGTAGAAAATATATAGTTCAAAAAATACTACTATTATTTTATTACTACTATATAACAGAAATGTATGTAATACTCTGGCCAGCAGAGCTGTACATGTCTTAAAACAATATTATCTTTTTATTATATGTGCAGTTTTGGACAGAATAATAACAAACATCTCAAAGGAAACAGTGTTGATAAAAATATATAATATAATATATAATATATATTCAAGGTCAGAGTACTGTTCTTAAACTAGACCTGCTCAAAGAAGCATTTGCCAACAACTCTTTGTCTTTAATTTTAGTGACGCACCAGTGTTGACACCTGGGCTGTGTTGGCAGCAGTAATGACCTTATTACACAGATCTGGTAACAGCCAAAAGTGACTAATCCATCTCATCTCAGTTACTTTCATTGTTAAACTATTGTAATCTTTTTCTGTAGTGTAATGTCGACACAAACAATGGCAATATTACATCTCTGTGATTATTATCAGACAATTATTTCAGCCATGCTAATTTATCAGTTGAGCTCTAGGTGTCAAATCATGAGAGAAAAAGGAGATTCTGTGCATCTCTGT